CCCGAGTTCCTTTAGAAAAGATAGCAAAGTCGAAAGTATAGATTCAGTCTGGATATCTTAGGAAGTGCACAAGGCACTTTAATCTAACTAGTTTGGGCACAAGGTCCGACACTCAATGAGTGGGCTAGTCGAGAGTGTGGTGTCCGATGCAGAGATTATGGGGGTCACATTCTCGGTAGACTAGAGGGATATGTGAGCTCCGAGATGCAGAACCCTCAGTCGCACTACGATGTCTACGATATAATAGAGAGTGAGTCTATGAGTATACTCACTAAAGCATAACAAACCAGACTAGTAGACCAGATAGCTTGTGCATTTCAGTGACAAACTTTTAGTATGTTTTACTTGTTACTATAACACTAAGCTAGTTAGCTCAATCTTCGGATGTTTCCGTGGGTAGGTTAGTAGATCCAACAGTTAAGAAGCTTTAGAAAGACCGAGGTCCAGATCTAGTGTAGAGCAGAGTACGTCATAAGTTTCTTAAATGACATGTATATTCATGAATTCGGTTCTATTGAGTTGTAAAGTCAGTTAAGAGTCAGTATGTAGGTATCTATATATTTTTTAGGGCTCTCAGATGTAAAGAGTCGTTTTAAAGTACAAGAAAGTAATAATAAGTTGGTTAGCCACTTCGATGGTTCCGCGTTGCACCTTAAATTGGTTGATTGTGTGTCGTACAAGTCTAGAGTGTTACATATCTAGCTAAAGGATAAGATGCCCCCACCTTGACGTTGAGATGCCATTGTCCTAACATCACCACGGTAAAGAAACCTTTACTCGTCTATCAAATCTATCCAAGGATGATGAGTTAGTTGCCTTTACCATAAAATCGAACTAGATTCAAACAAAATTCAATCTAACTTGTATCAAATTTGAACTAAATACAATCAAGACTCAAAATAATTTGATATGAACTCATCCAAATAACACGTTTGTCACCTCTGTCATGGTTAAAATGATTTTCTTTATATGCCACATGATAAAAGAATGCGTGAGAAGTGGTGGGGGATGGACCTATGCGGGGTGGGTGAGGACCGTCACCCTTTAAAATTTTAAAATTATCATATATTTTAGATTTTTTTGTACTTTTTATTGAAAATTTTCTTTCACCCTCTTAGAATTTTATAAGTTCAAGTTCGCCCCCTAAACCATTGGCCGTAGGTGCGGTACTGCGAGATTCTGAAGGTTTTGTATTAGCAGGCCGCGCGATTTGTATCGATGGCCACACGATGCAAGGGTTGTGGAGGCTCGTGCAATTAGGTTTGGTCTTCAATTGATGGTTGAGATGTACTATTCTCGGGTTATAATAAAAAGCGATGCAGAGGCAATTGTGCAACAACTTCAACAGTCTCATTCCGAGTTATCTTCTGTGCGTTTCATCTTGGCTGATGCTCGATGCATTTTAGATGACAACCCTGGTTTCATGCTCACTCACATTCGTCGTTCGACTAACTCTGTGGCTCATACTCTAGCTTCTTTAGCCTCTAGTTCTTCTTCTTCTTCTGTTTCCTTTATGTTTGATTATCCTTCATGTTTGAATCGTGCGATTGTAAATGACGCTATTTTAAGTTAATGAAGGTGGGTATTCTTTTCCCCTTAATAGGTTTATAAGAGGTTTTTAATGAGGCCTAGTTATTTTTAAAAAAAAGTATTTAATATTCTAACAAACATCCGTTATTTTAGAGTTTTGTGGAAGAATAGAACGATTTTAATTTCCGTTGATTTTTTTGGGGGTTCGGTCTTCACACTTATTTCAACTTAAGCCACCCGTTCCTCGTTGAATTAAAGCTTTTTTTTGTTGTTGAAAAAATCGTGTTAAAAAAGCTGTTTTAAGGTAACTTTATTAAGGATTTTAATCTGATCCAACTCCCGATTGCTCCATATCCGTCTCTGACTTTTGGAATCCATAAAACAATTTGTCCGAATCCTCCAAGTAATGTTTGTCCGACGCCGTCAATTCTCTATTTGTTATTAGCAACCCATAATTCTCGGTTGTTGGAAATTTTCGAGAAAATCAAACGTTAAGAGGAGTTAAATTATTTGGGATAAACTATATGTTTAGTATTTTAATTATCACTTTTATTTCATTTTAGCCATTTAATTATTTTTTTAATTATATCGAATTTTTGGTTTTGGTTTTATTTTGATCATCCGTTGTTAAAAAATTAAAGGTGTCAATCATTGAAAAAAATAAAAAATAATCAAAAGTTTTGTTAATTTTTTAACGGTGGACGACCACAATGTAACCTTAAGCATAATTTTGAAAACAAAATTGTGGGGTGACCAAAATAGAACAAACGTGATAGCTGACGTACTAAACATGTAATTTACCTAATAGTTTTCATAAAAAAAATAAGAGTCAATTAAATATTTAAATTCAAAAATTCAAAAAAAATTAGGATAAACTACAACATTGGTCACTACTGTTTGAGTAAGTTTTGTTTTTCCTATTGAAGTTTCAAAAGTAACAAATTACTCACTAACGTTATCAAATTGTAACAAAATTGTCACTAACATTATCTATTTGTAACAAAATGATCACTCCACTCCCCGTTAAATTGATGATGTGGCAACATTAATGAAAAAAGTTAATATTTATTTTTACCCCTAAATTATTGTTAAGACATCAAATATGTTATTGAACAATGATTTCATATCCAATTTACCACAAAAACTTTCTAGTTTTCTTTTTTTTCAAACCACCCACCACCTTCTTTTCAAACACCCCCAAACAAACCCCGCTTGATTCACTGACTAAATCCCGAGGTTAATAATATGACACATCAATTGCAAAGTACCCTTGGACATTTGTGGGACGAAAATTATAGGGGTTCCTACATTTACAAGTCAAACCAAGACCACTCCTCTAACTAGTCTCATCCATTGCCTCCTTCACAGCCTTGACAAAAGTCCTCGAGTTTGTTTGTTGCGATTTAAAAAATAATAATAATAATAATTAAAAGGCTCAACAGGATCGAATCACCCATAGCTACTATCTACAAAGAAAGCAACCAAAACGTGCCCCACCCTCCTCGTGCGGCGTATAGACGAAGATGCAAAGACTTCATTAATATATGTTCAGATGAGATTTCACCTTTCCCCAAACCATATCACTCAGTTCAAATCCATAACTCAATGTCCTTAAAGTAGTTCCACCAATTCTATCATTGGTTACATAATCGTCAAACTCACACAATAAAGATTGTAGCATCTGTGTTCATGATCTATTATGGACTTCAGTTTATTTTGAGTTCATAGCCTTGGAAAATTATACTTCTTTTATACGAGCTACTTAATCATATTATAAAATATAAATGAGGGTTTGTTCAACTACTTAATCCCACAGTTGGGAACTCCAACAACAAAGCAGCAGTGTGGGAAAGATATGGGGAGAGTTTGTTTTTTATTTTGTAAGGAAGGTTTTGAATATAGTAGAGGTGGTGAGGTGTTTAAAAAAATAGAAATTAGAAAGTTTTGGGGGTAAATTAGATATAAAAAATTATTCAATGACCTATTTGATGGTTTAACAATAGTTTGGAGGTAAAACTAAATACTAACTTTTTTATTGAAGTTGTTACATCATCAATTTAACGGAGATAGTAAAACTTCATCAACAAAGTAGTGATGTGGGAAAGATATGAGAGATTTTTTTTAAGTGTGGTCTTTATTTTGTAAGGAAGGTTTCGAAAATAGTGGAGGTGGAGGTGTTTGAAAAAAAATAAAATTAAAAAGTATTTTTGGGTAAGTTAGATATAAAAAATTTTAAGAACATATTTGATGTTTTAACAATAGTTTAGGGGTAAAAACTAAATACTAACTCTTTTTATTAAGGTTGCCACATCATCAATTTAACAGAGATGACGATTGTTACAATCCGATAACTTTAATGATCAATTTGTTATTTTTAAAATTTTATTAAAGAAAACTAAAACTTACTTAAAAATTAGTGACCATTGATGTAATTTATGCAAAATTTTATTTAACTAATATTTAAAGTTAAAAAAATTATTATACCAATTTTTTTTAAATCATTCCCTCTCATATCCCTTAAACACTGAGACGATGAAAGAGAATTGATGAACTTTCTTGAGCCTCAAAGAAAGTTTTTTGATTAATGAAATTTTTTTAATGATTGTATGTCTTTTTGGAAGAAAAACAGATTAATTATCAAATTAAACATTAAAATTAAACTTAGGTCCTAAATTATATATTAACCCAAAACAATAAACTTTTTTATATTGGAGGGGAGACAGATGTCATCTAAGCCAGAGAAATATATCCAACCAAATGCGGACGGCTACAGTTCTATATGCAAAGAGGAGTTTTTTTTTGTAGTACAAGTAATAAATAACGCCTTTTTTCCTCGGCTTCCTCACTCAAAAATGGCCTTTTTTCTGCATTTCTCACATTGCCTTTAAGTCCCTTAACGACCTTAATTAAGATTACTACTTCACCCATCTTCAAAGCCTCCATCTCTCAAAAAGCTGGACCTTTAACCCCCAGTTAACAGATGTTAGTTACTTTCTCTGTATTATGGAGCAAATTTTTTTACCCATTTCTGCTTTTTTTTTGGGGGGGGGGGTTAATTCTTGTATCAGCTTGGTTTGACTTTGTTCTATGGTATTGTCTTCCACTTTTGTCTCCTCCTTTCTCTTATTTTCAATATAAATCATTTTCATTTGAGTCGTGATTTTGAAATTTGAAGTGTGTATAAGGTATGTTTTTTTCTCTGTGGAAAGATGCTTTTCTTAAAGGTGTTATAATGGGTTGGTGAGTGTGTGGACCTGGTTTTCACTTCCCATCTTCTTCTTTCATATCTTCACCGTGACGCCTTTTTCTTCGTTTGTTTGGTAAGCTGTAAAAGTAAAACAGCTTGCATTTTTGTCCCTTCTCCTTTTCAAGTTTTCTTCTTTTTCAAAATTTTCAACCATTTATTTTCATGCTTTTGCTTCTTCTCTTTCCTCTCTTCATCAGTGTTTCTGCTAGTTCCTCTCTTTGCTTTGTTTTCTGCCTCAATTCCTTAGAGTTTTCCGAGATTTATATGTTTTTCAGTTGTTTAACGTTCACCCAGTTTTGTAGCTCTTTTTAGGTACTTAAATTTTTGGCTGGAAAGTTGATTTGGAGGCACACTGAAGCATAGGTTATTGGAGGTAAATGCATGGATCGAAGGGATGTCATGGCATTATCAGGATCTGCATCTTACTATATGCAACAGAGAGGGATATCCGGGTCGGGTTCCGAAATGGAGTCCGGGATGCATGGATCACAAGGCATTCATCCATTATCTAATCCAAATGTACAATACCTATCAAGTATTCGACCCCCTACTATAGAGTCCACCTTACCTTTGGAGTCTCCATCAGGGGTTACCCCTCATAGTGTCAATGTAGACACACGTTCAGCAGTGCCACCGAGTGAGGCGGTGAAACGGAAAAGAGGAAGGCCCCGGAAGTACGGACCCGATGGGACCGTCTCGTTGGCGCTGACTCCTGCATCGGCTACTCGCCCTGCGACAATAACGCCGGGCCAAAAACGGGGAAGAGGGCGGCCGCCGGGTACGGGAAGGAAGCAACAATTAGCTTCCCTTGGTAAGATGTTTTGCCCCCCTCTTTTATAAATGTGGAGAGCATGAGCATGAGGAATGTAACTTGCAGTGGCAGTTTAACTTACTGATCTGCTTCAATTGGGGTATGCATTTTTCTTGCTATGTGAATGACTTTGCAAATATCTAATTCTTCTGCTAGGTGAATGGCTGTCCGGTTCAGCTGGGATGGGTTTTACACCACATGTCATCACTGTTGCAATAGGAGAAGTATGAGGTTTTATTTTATTAATTAGTACATCGGTTTTTACCTATAACTTGTTTAAATGTGGTATAACTTCTCATGTAGGATGTTGCAGCAAAAATACTGTCATTTTCTCAGCAAGGGCGTCGAGCAGTATGCATTCTGTCCGCCAATGGGGCTGTCTCTACCGTAACTCTTCTACAGCCATCATCCTCGGGTGGCTCTGTTACGTATGAGGTTTGGGCACTCGATAACCCGATTCTTGATTTCTTGTATTGTTTTACAGGTGCTAGGTAGCATAAGCATATTTTGCCTTCTAGGCAAGGCATACTTGGACTGTATGTACTGTCCAATATTCTTACATATTAACTCTTTTTATGTTTCATTTTGAAATTCTAGTCTTGATGCGTATGTTTAGTTGAAAAGCGTACGTATTTGTCTGTTTTGATATCTGTAGGGGCGATTTGAGATATTATGTCTGTCAGGCTCCTACTTGCTGACCGGCAATAGTGGCTCTTGCAATCGAACTGGTTGTCTAAGTGTTTCCCTTGCCACTCCTGATGGTCGCGTTATCGGTGGAGCTGTCGGAGGGACGCTCATTGCAGCAAGCCCAGTTCAGGTAACTCTCAGTTGCTATGATATCTACTATTCTACTTGTAAATTAACTCTCTTCTCTACGTGGAGGTTTAGACCTTCTATGGGTTAATTCTGCCTTCTATGAATGAACCAGGTGATCGTTGGAAGTTTTGTCTGGGGTGGTGCAAAGACAAAGAACAAGAAGCCTGAAGGTCAAGAATGTCTAAATGACTCGGATAATCAGAGTGCGGACAATCTAGTATCTCCGTCCGGCATTTTGCCAAGTCAAAATCTGATTCCGACTTCGCCTGTAGCTGTATGGCCTGGTTCACGAACGATGGATATGCGTGATACACACGTCAATATCGACCTAATGCGAGGATGACTCGTACGTCTAATACTTTCATGAGCAATGTACATAATTTGCTGTTGAAGGCAAACCTGATTGTAATTCAAAAGTCCCAAGGGGCAACCTGATTTTCGGCTTGATGAAATCTCCCTTAATTTTGATCGTCGCAATGACGGACAAAGGAGGTTTCCTCGGATATTTGTAGCTTGATGACAGTTAGAACTCACGATTAACTGATCCCGTGAGGTATCTTCAAGTTTCTCCAATTTGAACCAATTTAAGCAAGCCATGCTTCATTTCTCTTTATAGGCAGCCATGGCTTTAAGTCTTTATCTTTTATTATGACATTGTACCATGATCTTGTCGGCTTTAAGGTTATACGAGACATTCAGACAAATTATAAATTGAACAATCGCAAGCAACGTTCTATGTTCCGACGTATGTTCCAACGTTATGAAGGTTGATCGAAACCCGAAAGATTCCAGATTTTTGCAATCTCTCAATAGAACACCAAAATTCATAAAAGGTCGTTACTATATGGTGACAATTTCTAACAGTTAATACATTTTGTTGCATAAAGTTCAAAGCTGCATCAGCATTCACCAAAATACGACATGAAACCAAAAATGACCACTTTACAAAACCAGAATCTAAAACGACGGTCTCGAAACACCCCATGACCTATTTACAGCATACTATCAGTCCTTGCAGGCAGACGACGAAAGAAATTGATCGGTGGTGGAGGTGTCTTGTGGCGGAACCTGGGATGCCTCATTATGTAAAACCCAGAAAGAAGAGCAATCACCTGAAATGGTGTGACATACAAAACAATGGCTGCCACGAGACATAATATCACAAATAGAGTTGTGGCACGAGGATCCCGCCAACTCAGTAATGACTGAAGCCGCTCACCCTGGCTAGCTATGTCACCTACAACGGTCTGAATCCTCCCCGCAACACTCCTTAAACGATCATACCTCATCCGAACTATATCTGAGCTTTTCGATGCGGGAAAGGACTCGAATTCTTCATCCAGTTCATCAGCAGAAACTGCATCTGCACAAGAGAGACTTGTGTTCATGTGAGGAGGGTACCTCGGCCGACAACGATAATTCCATATCCCTATGAGGAACATGTATAAGAAAACCGTTGGTAAAATCAGCTCCGGTAAACAAACGAGCATTGCAAAGAGCACATGCACCAGAACTGTTGTAATAGGGTTCTTCCACATGCAAACTTCACCAAACCATTTTCCAGCTGCAAATAATCCCGAGCAAACCGATGTCAGCCGCAAAAAGTTTGCCTTGCTGCGCCTCATGCTCCAAAGGTGAGCATTTGCATCAGACATGTATTCAACTACTTCTCTCCTGAGAGGAGGTTCGGACCGACCAAGCCGAGCTGCCACAATATTAACGGCTTGATGTCGTAGAATGTCCTGCTGCATCACATTCAATGGCCTTTTGTAGTGCATCTTTGGCAGAAGAGGTCGCGAGTATTGACACATCATATTAACCATCGATGTCGATGAAAATCGTATTGCTAAATGTAGTTCACCAAGTTTCTCGACACCAGAAGGGTGAAGAACCAGCAACGGGTAAGTGTGTGTGTAAACACGACCAGTTTCGAGTGTAGATATACGAATCCGCACCTTTCCAATTTTATTATCTCTGTTATTATCAGAACCTCCAATCTGAGAGTTATCAAAGACCCCCACTGTGAGAACCGTGGCTGGATCATAAACTTCCCATGTGTACTGCTCATTATATTTCGGATTCAGGCTATTGACTATGGTTCGAGTTCGAACCCATTTGTGGCCGTACTTAGCAACACAATACGTATCAGACGTACCTTTTCCTTCTCTCGTTTTCATTGGTTGAAGCCCATCAGCATTCAAAATTCCAAGTTCTAGAACACCAATTGATGGTTTCCAGAGCTGCTTTGCTGTCGGCCGGAGATCACTGCTATACTGAGTTGACTCATCAAGAACATGGTATCCTCCATCAAGACACACACAAACATGGAGCCTACTACAAAATTTATCCTTATCCTTCTTTGCAAGATCACCATCCATAGCATCCGAAAACGACCTCTCCAGATTGTACCATCGGGAATGGATAGTTCGATCATCAGCACGCCTATCAACGGAGTTCAATGCCATAACAACCTTTCCAATGGCGTCATCCTTATTAGGACCCACACGATCTTCAACTGAAAAAATCAGATGATCTTCGAAGGGTTCGGAGGCAACAAGCATAAACTCCTCGTTCCAGATTGGATTCATATTTCGATTTTGAACAGGTTTTGTCTTTAAGATCTGGTTACCGATTTGAACCTTAACATATGCATCAAGAAATCTGTTCTTGTCAGCTGGAACAAGGTCTTGAGCCTCAATAACATTGACACGGACATACCATAGTCTCGGAGAGTGATAAACTTTTGAACGGGTGTATGTTGGGGAAACCGAAGTGCTATCACCTGGAGCAATAGTATCTGAGTGCCACGCATCTGGAAAAGCCTCATCAGCCTGTGTGCCATACCAAACTGCAAGCATCAATTCCCCTTTCTTTTTCTCTCCTTTCTTGTCTTCCAGCCGATACCATTCCGGAGCCAATGGACTGTCAGGTGGAACCCTCGTGGGAACCTCGTTGAGATCAAATCGCACAAAACCGACAGAGTCATCTTTCACCAAATCCTTATTCTTGACAACAACTTCTAGCACAGATGACTGCAGCGTGTTCCTTGAAAAGGCAAACACCTGATGCCATTCTGGATGTTGTTTCTTCTCATAATGCTTTGTGATTCCTTTGTAGTTTCCAACTTTCACTTCAACATAGGGATCAAGGCTTCCAGTCGCATCTTTTGAAGGAAGATCTCGGGCTTTCACCACTCGAACAAAAAGGAATCTCATCTGTTCAACAAGGTCATAGGTGCTAGTTGGTCTGTCGCCTTGTATGACTCGGCCACCAACAATTTGTCCTCCTCCAAGAAATGGACTTGTCTCTTTAAGAGCATAATCAAGTGGGTGAGATGATGAACCTGAGAACATGTGAACAGCTCTTGATGGTGGTGGTCCAGATTTCATCTCATGTGCTCCATAATTCATCTGTTGTTGCGGAGGCATTGGGGGAAACTTTTGCTGCTGTTCCGACTGCTTCGCATTTGGAAGATGATGAAATGTGCGTCTTTTACCATTTTTCTCTTTGGGAAATGAATTTGGGCCTGCTTCCTCCGTGACTGGAAGAGGAGTCGAGGATTTGATCGAAGGGTCATCAGTAACAAACACTTTCAAACCAAGCTCTCCTTTAGCACGAGAGAAAACGGTCCGCTTTTCAAGAGGATAGTGTAAAACAACAGCATCAGAATACGGCACGAACGACGTTGAGGTGAGGCGAACCTTCCCAAGACAGACTTGACCGTTGTTGGCTTTGTTATGGCAATAAACATAGGCTTCAAGAGGGAGACTCGACAACTTGTTCGGATCAGAGACGTTGAAATAGAAACTCTCGTTCCAAATCGGACTGAGATCTTTCTCTTTAGTAGTGGTGCGGAATCTCTGGCCATCGAACTCAAGCTCCACAAAGGGATTGGATGAACCCTGCCCATCTTTGGCTAAAAGGTCATAGGCGCTCACCACCTCCACCCCTAACTTGAGACTACTCATGGTTCGAATCAATCGAAGCAGAACACAGAAAACACTTTAGCCGGAATCCGTAACCGTCTGTGAACTAAACAATACCTGAAGTACAGAAGGAAAACTAATAGTTCAACAGCAGAAGCAAGGATGAAAGTACTGAAAATTCAAAAAGGACACAACAACAAAGGAAAAGAACAAGAACACACTAGAATCAGATTTAACATAAACTGCAATATAAATTTTTTATATATAAATAACTTTATATTTTTCAATTTAAATTCTCCAAATTCTGGATCAAGTGGGCAATATAATATTTTATTTTATCATGTCAAATTATAAAAAAAAGGGAAAGAAAAGCGAGCTAAGATTCCGCAGAGATCGAAAAGGGAAATAAACCCATGAATCTTTCTCAAACTAAAGCAAGATTTTATGAAGAAAAAAAAGCTACCATACTTTTAGCTGACATAAGAGAATACGTATATACACACAAAGAATCATTTAAAGCCTTAAGAATCTCGTTTCCATCTCCAAAATCCAGTAAGGGGACGAGAATATCTAGTCTTCTTTCAAATACTTTTTGTTTGGCTTTCCAAAAACAAAAGATACACTCTAGGAAACTTTTTTCCTACCAAGCTCAGTCTCTGTTTCTTTCATGGTAAACAATTACTGGGCTTAAAAGCTTATCTGATTTGTTTTTTATTTTCTTTAAGATTCGACAAAGGAGAAAAAGAACCAACTTACTTTTCCAGGTCTCAATAGAAAAAACACCCAATAACCTGATCTCAAAGGGTTGAAAAAACCTGAAATAAACAATAAAAAAATAAGATAATTTGAACCTTACGAAAGAAAGAAAAAAAAATTAGAAAATTGAAGAGACTAAAAACTGACCTCTCGTTTTTAAAAAGCTGAAAGCTTTGATTAGTAAAGTGATAGGAAGCTGGAAACTATATATGATGGAATCTATGAAACTTAGGAGAGGAGGAGATTAATATTAAAAAAGAAAAAAATCAGAAAAATACTGGTCGACTGTGAGGAGGAGAGTCGTCTAACTTGAATTAAAGATAAATCATAACCAAAAAAGGCTTCACTGTTTAAATTTACACAAGGCTATTTGTGCTCCCGGTGCCTGCAGTCTTTGCACATTAAAAGAATAGTTTCTAAAGAATAATATTTAAGAAAATATGCTAATAGTACAATTTAAAGGGTTTCATTAACTTATGAACTAAACGATCTCAGTGATTAATATATTGTTGTTATCTCTTGAGATTTCGTATTTGAGCAATGTTTATGTAGGAATTATAAGCATTCTTTGTTAAATAATTCAAAGTGTTTGAACTTATAATATCTTGTATTCACCCTAAATTTATTAGAGAGAAAAAAAGGGATTTCATTAACAATATTATTAATTGAGGGTCCGTTAGTTTCACTAAAAATGATTATTGTAAAATGAATTACATTTTTAAAAAAATATTTTTTGAAAACGTTTTACGGTATTTGGAAGAGGTTGTGTAAATCATTTTTCACTTAATGAATTTTTAAAAAAAAAATTATTACAAATATTAAATACAATAAATAATATTATTTTTAATAAAACTTAATAATATTATTTTTAAAATATTAGAATAATTTATTTATTATTATTAAAATATTTTTCCATAATTTTTTAACAAAAATATTAACATTAGTACATTTTATTGAAATGAAATTATTA